AAGTTGTTCATATGAAGTGTCATATCAGTGTCTCCTAATAAAAATATATAATGTTTAAGGAGTTGACAAAGTTTCCCTCAGTTTGGGAAGCTTCCTGACCAAAGCGGACTATTCAACACATCCATGGAGAAGTCCAGAACAAATGAAGAACGTAAACTCGTAAGGAAAGAAAGAAACATGCTGCAGAGGCAAAACAAGTGAGAAACTTAATGTTCTGTAATTCAATCTCAAGTCAACAACAAATTAAAACCAGAAAAAAAAAACTTTAAAAATCACTGATTTTACAAAAAAAAAACACAAGAAGGCTCCAGGCCTGTAGGGGGCGCTGAGTGACGCGGCTTTATTCTTAACAGGGGGGGGGGACAAGGAAGTAATGATTAACAGACCATAAAACGAAAGACCGACCCTATAGCAACCCCCCCCACCACCCACCCTGTATTAACGTCCTGTTATGTTAAGTAGTGGTAAATATGACCTTCACCCCTCCCCCACCTTCAAGAATCACATGAACACAAGAGCCATGTGGCACCAAAAACAATTAATAACACACATATTTCTGGACAAACTGGCAATGATTCAGTTACTTTATTTGGCTCTTTGCCATCATCACCCCCCCCCCCCCAGACCCCCTCTAACACACATCACTGTGCTTCATTGTGTTCAGAGCGTGATTCAATTAAAACCACGAGATACACGAGAGAAAATCCTCTTATGTTTTTTTTTTCCTCGTCACTTGATGGCATCAATCGATGTTTTTTAATAAGCCAGCTTTTCTGGATTATTCAGCCGACGTCTAAATGCCCCGTTTGATACCAGGCTCTGGTATTTGAATGTGTGACCCCGTTGACTTGGTGATAGGCTACATTTGAATCTCAGCGTTTTCTTCTTCCATGACAAGACTCTCTACACAGAGTCACAATGACTTTGAATTATGATGTTATGAATCAGGATTTAAAGAGATTTAAGTTTAAAAAAATTGTCTCCCCGTCTTCCAAGTCAAACATGAATAATGCTTACCCCTGAATGCATCACAAATTATGACCTAAACTGTGAATCCTGCAGAATACATTTCTAATTTTAGTGCTTTACAGATCGTCTCCTGCACTTTAATACTTAAACTAAAGTAATAAATCTTTACTACCTCCATCACTGACTCTAAATGTTATATATACGCCTACCCCGGATCTTTCCACTACAGCTGTGTGTGACCGGGCCACCACCAGGCGGGCACAGAGCCCCCCCATCAGCCCCCCTCTCGGTGTGTCAGTGGAGTCAGGTTGCGTAGCTCGGTCGGTATGCAAACACAAACGTGAGTGGCTGAATTAGTCGCCTTGTGGGCTCGCACACCGGATGTGTTTTAAAAAAGGTCCGGCACGACCCTGAACGCATCACATGTCCAATCATTGACATACCCCATCTGTCTCCAGTCACGTCCTGCCTGCTATATTCTAATATAACTCAACTCTATAGATAGACAGGCGAGATAACATCTTTATTTCTCATTGTACATGCACGACATTTGAGCAGGACAAAAAAAAACCTTCTTAAAGTGCCAGATTCTGATTATTGTTGTGTTTGATTTGATTTAATGGAGCAGGCTAATGTGAGTTTTTAAAAAGAATAATCCAGCTGTTTTAAGGCTTTTTTTTAGAGTTGAATCTGTGTTTTTTGGAGGGGTGTTTAAGCTCTTAAATCCACTTGAAGACGTCTTAAAGCAGAGAGTGTTTACTGCAGGTTATGTTGGGAACATGGCACATCATGACTGTAATCTAGGCCTCCCTCAGAGAACCACTTTAAGGATTATTCTACAAAAACACAAATTAAAAGAATATGAAGAGAAACAAACCTCACTTGGGGCAGGAGTGTAGCCTCAACCGGACAACTCGCTTATTTCCTTGTTCCGTTCAGGACCAGGCTGATGTGGGCTCCATGGCACCGACCAGTCTGTCTGTATCGATCCTCCTCGGGACGCAGCAAAAACAAAAACAAACAAAAACAACAAAAAACACCGAAACTGTGACAACGCCTCCGGGTCTGGATGTTTGTCTTGTACACAGAGTAGCTCCCCCACACACACACACACACACCCACCCCCGAGTTCAGGGCTTGATTTCCTGTGTTACTGTCAGGCCCGATGGAGAAGCAGAGAGAGAGAGAGAGAAACCCGCATCCAGAGCAGGTGCGATGTAAAAAAAAAAAAAAAAAAAAATCTATTTTCGCTTTCAACCGGATCCACGAATAAACCAGTGGAGCGTCTTTTCTCGGTTTCGGGTTGCGGGGCAGCCGGAGATGTTTATGAAGGCAGGACGAGCTCTGTCAGAGGGGAATCCCACCGTATCATGTCTGTGCTCAGCTGCTGTGTGCGTGTGTTTGTGTGGGCTTTTTCGTTGCTGATGAAATGGCAGCGGTAGCAGCAGCATCATATAGCCTGACTCATCCCGCATCAGTACCATTACCGTAAAGGACCGAGGAGAGGCGCAACACCCCGGACGAGCAAGCTCAAAACAAGACATTCACTATTATAATAATAAGATTGGCTATCTGTGGGCGTTCTTTGAATACTTCATGTCACTAAAGTGGAAACGTGATGGCATGTGATTAAAGCCTGATTTTTTTTCAGTTGCTATATTCAAGGAAATACGAGCTGACTGTAAACACACACATCTGGTTTTCTGAAAATTAAACATTAATTGGAATGCTGATTAATGTTTTTTTTTTATTTTTTTTATTGGCATGCTTTGTTTTAATTGTTTTAATTGTTTTAACTTGTCATGCCCCGTGACCCGGTTCAAAGTCCACTCTCCCAGCAAAGGGGAGGCTGCACACTCACTGGGCCAGAGTGCTGACCATACTGCGCAGGAACGGAAGAGGGTGAGCTGCTAGATGGGAAGTGTAGTTTTTTTATTTTGTGTAAAAAGTGTGTGTGTGTGTGTGTGTGTGTGTGTGTGTGTGTGTGTGTGTGTGTGTGTGTGTGTGTGTGTGTGTGTGTGTGTGTGTGTGTGTGTGTGTTTTGGACAGACAGGCTGACGGTGGTAAAGACAAATCAGCATTTTTTGCATTTTGAATGTTTTAATATTTGGATTTAAGGGGACTTTGGGTTTATTCTAAGGTGAAAGCTTATAGTAAATATTTTTAAAATGTTGTTTTTCATTTTTTTTTTAAAAAAAAAAATATCCAGATTAAGAAATGTAAATATGACAAATGTAATAAAACATTTAGGCAACTAAAAAGGAAATTTACACAATATACTGAGGTTTCTCTTTTTGTGTTCAACTAATTAATCAATCTGTATTTGTATAGCGCCAATTCATAACAAATGTTATCTTGAGACAGGTGTAAAGACATTACTCATTTTTGTGTAAAAAACAAAAAGCAGCTAAAAGAGGAGGCTCAGGAGCTCCCAGGAAAAGATAATAAAGTTCATCTTCATACTACAAAGTGTGACCTCTTCAAGCCGTTCACTCTCCATGCACCTTGTTTTGGTGAACTTGTGCCAAACCCTAAAAACACAACACTGATCCAGAAAGCACCATGACACTGCAATGCCCTGTTCTTCATGTCTCAAATTCATGGGACGTAACCATCTGCTGCCACCTGCTGGGTGAAAATATGTAATGCATCTGCAATTTTTTTTGTCCAGCACTCTGAGAAGCAAATGTGCATATATAAAAAAAAAGAAAGTCAGTGGATGCCTCACTTGTGCCCCAGCCAGAATGTGACCAAACAGTAACTTTAGACATAATAAGATGAGATCAACTTTATTGATCTTCCATGGGGGACATTTTTTCATTTCAACGGCTCAAGAAAACAGGAAACAGGAATATAATTATCAAAAAATAACAAGAAGTTAAAAATCAAACATATTTACATAAATAAAATAATAGAATAATACAAGGTATGTACACTTCCATAATGTCATTATTGCAGATTATTCTCATTTCTATTTGACGCCGACTAAATATTTTTGCAACTTTTAAATTAAACTTTCCAAACCAGTTTTCGAAAAAATAATGACTCAGTGAAGATCTGCCATTCCTCCTCTCCTTCCTTGTGGAGGAGAGTTGGTGAGTGGCTGCCCAATTGGTCAACAAGTCCCCAGTAAGCGTGAACATAATCTTATAAGTGACCCCGTAATGTCAATTAAATCGAGCTAAATCGAGAGAGACAGGAAGAGACTGAACAGACTGATCAGGACTGTCCTCTGGACTCTGTAGAGGAGGTGGGTGAGAGGAGGATGTTAGTGAAGCTGACATCCATCATGGACAACCCCTCTCACCCCCTGCATGACACTGTGGGGGGTCTGAGCAGCTCCTTCAGCAGCAGACTGAGACACCCACCCTGCAAGACAGAGTGCTACCGCAGGACGTTCATCCCATCTGAAGTCAGACTGTTTAACAACATCACCACCTCATGCTACACACTGTGTGTGTTTTTTAAAGAACAAGTTACTGTGTCATTTTACATTTACATTATTGTATTTTTTTACATTATTGTATTTTTTTTTAATTATTTAAATGATGTAAATATGTTTGATCTGTTCTTAACTTGTATTTTTTTTTTTTATAAGTATATTCCCGTCCCCTGTTTTCTGGAGCTGCTGTAATGCACAAATTTCCCCCACGGGATCAATAATCTTTATCTTTATCTTTATCTTATCAGCACGCATACACATACGCATACACACACACATACACATACACACACACACACACACACACACATACACATACACATACACATACACATACACACACACACACACACACACACACACACACACACACACACACACACACACACACACACACACACACACACACACACACACACACACACACACACATACACATACACACACACACACACACACACACACACACACACACACACACATACACATACACATACACACATACACATACACATACAGTCTAGGGGGCGTGGCCAATCCTTACAGCTCCTGCAGGAACAGCTGACAGCCTGAACGCAGTAAAAGCGCTGGCAGCAGACAGCAGGAGGCGTGCACACACATAACAACACGTATTCTTGACTGTTTTCTACAGCTGTATTGGGACGTATCGACAGGACTTACCGTATCAGAAGCCGACTTTTGAAGCGACTTTTGGTGCTTTATAAAGTATGAAACACTCATTTTTACTTTTTTAATGCCATCTTACAGTCAAAGTGTATGCTCAATCCGTGTATCCGTTTTTATGCAACTTTCAGTTTCAAACATTGGCCGCTTTACATGACTTCTGACCGACTGTCACCAGCCAAACCCCTTTTTTTGTTTTGCATCTCTTCCTCATGCGGAAGCCGTAGTTCTACTAATTGGAGACCTCACTGTCAGTAAAAGGATGCAGCAGCAGGAGCGCCTGCTCAAAGTCCTGGTCATCGGAGACCTCGGAGTCGGCAAGACGTCCATCATCAAGCGCTACGTGCACCAGGTGTTCTCCCAGCACTACCGAGCCACCATCGGGGTCGACTTCGCCCTCAAGATGCTCAACTGGGACCACAAGACGATGGTGAGGCTGCAGCTGTGGGACATCGCCGGTGAGTCGAAGACACAGTGTGTGTGTGTGTGTGTGTGTGTGTGTGTGTGTGTGTGTGTTTGGAAATATGCTTTTGTCGTTAAATGGTTATAAGAGCTAGAGACGTTTGTATTTATAGAAAAGCCAATATTTACATAGTATTTGCATAGTCAAATAAGAGAGAGTATGTCATATGTAACTATCTGTTAAACGGCTTTAACATGTTACAACTTCACTTATCTTTAGACTGGGTTCAACTTTTTTTTTTAAAATGTTGTATCAAAGTTTAGTCTGACTTTCTACAACAGCAATACTTTTCCGGTAGAAAATTAAATTGTATTTCGTCTTAAGTTTTCCCTTCTTCAAACCACGCTTGTCAAAATGTTCACAGCTTCGATACTTTCTGATACTGGGTATTTTAAAAAGCGATCTCTTCTATTGTGCAATGATGCATGGGCGGTTCTAGGCAGGGGCCAACAGGGGCCAGTGTCCCTGTAACACTGAGCTTGGTCCCCCCCTGTGGCCACCCCTCCAAAAGGAAGCCCCCCTAATAACACATTAACACAGTATTTGACTCAACAACCGGACTCACAATCTAGTATTAAACACTGTTACTGAAACAAATATAAATCATGGTATTTAATGATGCTATTATTTGGCATAATATATAGATATTTTTTAAAGCGATCATCTTTGTCTGTTTTTCACCTGGGTTTAATGTTCCCCTCTGACAAAACAACTGGCCCCAGTTTGGCCCCCCTCGGTAAAAGTGGTCTAGAACGGCCACTGAATATCACTACTCTATATTAGTACTTTTTCAAAAAGAAAGGTGTGATGGAAGGGAATGAATCCATCAACAACTCCTGCACACTGTTTAAATTGCACGTATACATTGGTAACGTTACTACCTACTGAAATGTTGCCGATGTATTTGGGCATTTGAGATAGTGTGCAGGAGTTTGCCTGCAAATTTGTTCATTAGAAACAAGGAATTACCCAATATTGGTGCCTCGGACTTCTAATGTTGTTGCCCTGGTTACAAAACAGATATCAATATTGATCGTTTTTAACTAGATTCTTATTGAAGTTTACATTTCTGGTACGCCAAACCTGTGAGACTTCATGCATTGTCAGAAAGTACACCATTTGAGGTCCATATTTAACTATCCGTCTCCTACATATAGAGGTTATTATTGTATTGTTTTACTCCACTATATTGGCCTGGTACTTGGAGTTATGGTCACACTTTTTCAATGTCCAGTGAAAACCATAAATGGTGAAATTTCTGATTAGCTGAAGAATGAAATGTTCCTGTATGGGTTGTGAAAAATTCCCCTCCTTCTTAAGCTACATAAACTGTTTAAACAGTTTAAGCTTAGATTAGCTGGAAAGTGCATGAAGCCGAAAACAGCACTGTTCTGTTTCAGAGCTCACAGAAAGTGATGTTTAAAGATGTGTGTTTAGACTTTAGACTTTAGAGGTGGAACAGAACATTGGGACGGGCTGGATCATGCTCTGATGTAGCAGCAGGAGGAGATCGGGGGTGGAGGGAGGGGATATAAAGTCCTTTCAGTTTGCGGATGGCTGACAGGTCTCACAGGTTTTCCCAACCTTGAGGTCGCGACACTAAAGTTGATTTTCCGTTGATACTATCAAAGAACAGCATCAAATCGTTTCCTTTGGGAGGCCCCAATTAGGACGTTGTTGCTTGCCTTAAAGAGTTTCACTTATTTGCAGACGATATATCAGTCAATAACGAATCAATTCTGATCTATTTCTTTCCATCTTCACATTCAGATTTATAAGAGGGAGTTCAAATGGCTTACATAATATTTTGAGAGCTTTTCGATGAATATGTATTTCATAGATTTTGTGCCAAATGTTTATGAATCCAGGCGGACTTCTAATTCTCTGTTTTGTAACATGACTCACTAACACAGTTTTAGTTCTCAGATCTGAACATGAGTGAAATCTTGATATGAACCTGGCTGTAGTACTCAAAGTGGGGCACATTGTATCATCAATTATATCTTAGACACACGCTCATGTAACATGTCGTCATTGGATTCTTAAAATTATAGATTCAATTTAAGATTACTTAAATTTAAAATTCTTTTTTCACCAATAATTAATTCGATTTTTTTTAGATTGAAGCTTTGGCAAGTCATAGAAGCTTGACAGATATTTTTGCCCTGATCATTTGAATGTCAGATCTTAGTCGTTTATCTACACTTTGTAACCAAAGATCTTTCGGCTCTATCTTGCTGATGCATCTAAAGACGATGATGCACAATTCAAGTGTCAACCGTCTACAAAATGTGGTTAAGCTGCCTCTGCTGATAAAATGTTGAGGTAACGCTTCAGTACTTCCCATTCCTGTTCAGATAACTTATTCTACAAAGAAGAGCTTGTTGTGTTCTTCTTATGAAACACATCACGCCTCTCAGATTGCACCTAATTTGATGTTCTTTTGGAAATGCTCAGCCGGTCTGCACACCCTGTAGTTTAGCTTCTCCTGCTGAGGCCTTTTGGTGATATTGAAATGTGATTGCTGATAAGTCATTTGCATGAAGACATCTGGCTGAGGCCGTCAGCCGTGTTTGACTTTGGACCATAAAACCAGTGATGATTCACCTCCATTACTCTGGAGTCAATGGCTCTTCTCTTACACACAAACACTCGGCACATAATCATCATCAGTGTGTCAAAATGATAATTGCATCACTGTTTTGAGTAAGTGAGCTAACGCTTATCTAGATGAAGTCAAGTCATGCATGTTTCCTGATCAAAATAAAGGACAGGTTTAAGATGCTGTTTAAAGAATTTGCCATCCATGTGGGGGAGTGTTGGTTGGCCGCTGTCCCAAATTGGTCAGCTGGTCCCCAATAAGCGTGTACATAAACTTAAAAGTGTCCCCAAAAGTCTGTTAAGTCAGGACACATACACACACAGTCTGGGGGTCCCGTCATTACTCCAGAGTCAATGGCTTTTCTCCTACACATAATCTCACTTTCTGTGGACAGACACTGAAGTGTGCTTGATTCATGGCATTTCAAATGGAAATGTTGCATTGGAAGATTATTGTTGTAAGTTACAGACTTCTGTATATTATGATAGCTTACAGTAAGTATACTGATGTGTTCTGTAAAAGTAGCACATCACTCAAAAAAATAAATATTGAAACTTTGGTAAGACACTTGATTTGTTTTATTTTTTAAATTTTGATGTACTTTACTAATCCCAAGGGGAAATTCTGTTTTACACTCTGTTATTAAGATTCATGCTTCTCACACACATATGCCACTTGCTACTCGATTAAAAGATAAATGCTAGTGCTGAACAGGAATTGGCTAAATTAAGCTCATCTCAGTTTAGCATGAAGATTGAACAAAGCTGTTTCAAACACTCATAATCCCTTTAATGCACAAGTTGTCCTTTTACACTTCAGATATTACTTTTGGATGGAACCATGCAAGCTGTTTTGTTTACTGTTTAAAGTTTATGTTAGATAAAATGGTAAACTAATCCTTGAATTTTTACTGTATGACTTTGTTTTCCCTTTTTGACTGATACAGAAGATTGATACCATACTAATGTCTCTATAGTGAACATGAAGCTACACAAGTCTGAGACAATTAGCTTAGCATGGAGAATGGAAAAGGTTGGGTCAAACAAACAGACTCCTTCTAAATGCACCACTTATGTTTTTACACTCGAGTTGTTACTTTTAGACAGACCAGCTTATGCTAGCTAACTAATGCTAAGCTATGCTAATTTTGTCCTGGTTGTAGCTCTATTTTTACCTTATAGACATGGGAGTTTGAATAAATAACTAATTCTTCTCTTTTTAAGAAAGCAAGAAGGAGTCATTCATAAAATGTTATAAGAACATAGTCGTAGTAGGACAATGCTAACATGTTATACTAAGTCAGAGAGAGTCGACTATCAGACTGCTTGTTGTGCGTTTTGAGAATGTTTGTATCAGCTGTTGTCTTGCTGTGTAGGTCATGTGCAGTCTGTGTGTGTGTGTGTGTGTGTGTGTGTGTGTGTGTGTGTGTGTGTGCATCACAACCTCACTAGCTGATTCACCACTATATTAAGATCATGTGGAGGAAGTTAGCTTTCAGGATAGAGACTTATTCTTTTATTCAGTTACACACACATGGTCACGTACGTACTTGCATGCAACAACATTTTTCAGCATGCACACACCGAAGCTTTAACTTTACTCTGATTCTGCCTTATGGGGCATGACAATGATAGTGGAGTTGCAGAACTTAATCAATTAATCAATATGTAAATTGAATGGAAGGTTGTTCTTATAAAAAAATTAAGCAAAAATACCAAAAATGTTCCTTTTATAGCCCCGCAAATTAAAAAAAAAGTAGGATACTTATGGGATCATGGCTAAAGATGTAAAGGGTTTAGACTTTGGGTTAAAAAATATACATATATTTGAATACTTCACCTTATAAAAAGAGAATTTACAGCAAGCATTTAAATACCAATTAAAGAATTATATCATCAGGGCTTTAATTCTGGCTCTTTTTGTTTGATATACACTTCTAATGAACTCTTTGTAAGGGCAGGACTTGCTACAAGTTAAAGAAGTTTCCTTGTCTCCGTTCTAAGTTGCAATCAAGTTTAGAGTCAAGCTTGGAGATTTTTCAGGTATCTCATTCAGTTAAAGAGCCCATATTATGCCCTTCTTGGGGTTCATATATTTAATCTATGTATCTACTAAAGTATGTTCACAATAGCTAAAGTTATAAAAAAGTGTCTGTTTTCATGAACTGCCGCTCCATGCACCGGCTCTCTTCTGACTCCCTCTCTAAGGCTCTGAAGTGCCCACGTTCAGAGTCCCCACGTGTGCCAAGTCTGATCTGATTGGTCGGCCTGTCGGCTCTGCCGTAATTGGTTAGTTGCTCAGCACGGTTCTCGGAAATGTCCCGCCCCTTTTACCATATTGGGAATGCAGCCACTTTGGCTCCGTCCGAGGGGAGCAGAAACATATCGTGGGCGTGCTACAGAAGTTAACGGGCGTGCAACATGAGCTGCTGGGCTTGACACAACGAGCAAATGGGCTTAGATCAGTGATATCACACTGACAAGACATCACACTGGCAAATTTTTTTTGAGGGGGGTTAGAACCGAGCGTTACATGCAGCTAATGCTGCAGCTAACAGGAGGACGTAAGAGAAGCCGCGTTTACGGCTGCACATAGATGTGCCTAAACATGCACAGGACACTTGGAAAACACACTAAAGAGCATGTAAAACCAGAAAAAGCAGAACATGGTCCCTTTAAATGTCTCAGACAGGCTGTGGTGTTGCCGCAGAGCTACAAAGGGATGACATGACCAGCTTTGACATGGTTAACAAAAAGTAAAGTTGAATTTTTGAGACTGTGCTCATTCTGTCTTCTTTTCTTGTTCTCTTCTAAAGGGCAGGAGCGTTATGGGAACATGACCCGTGTTTACTACAGGGAGGCGGTGGGGGCCCTCCTTGTCTTTGACATGACCCGACTGTCTACGTTTCAGGCTATCATCAAGTGGAAAGGAGACCTGGACTCAAAAGTAAATATGATGAAGGAGAGAGAGAGGGAGAGGAGGGAGAACAACTGTTCAAGTTACCACAAAAAAACCTGCAATAAAGTCTTTTTAAATGTCACATTTCAGGTTACAGCACACTGATTTGTGTAAATTGTGAATTTTCTGGTTCCGTCAGGTCGCTCTTGGCAATGGGAGGTCAGTTCCGGCTGTTCTATTGGCCAACAAGTGTGACCAGCGGCGTCATGGTTTGTGCCCCAAGCTGCCCAAACTGGAGAACTTCTCCAGAGAGTACGGATTTGTCGGCTGGTATGAAACCTCTGCAAAGGTAAGACTGAACTCAAATCTCTCGCCTTTACAATATGCAAATAATGTACATAAGTTGCTTTCAGTCTCTCTGAGCTCTTGTCTATACCCCTAACCCCCAGATTGCTAATCCGCTACAGCACCATAGCAAACCTCTGTGACCTTCATTTTTTTTTACCTTCTTTGATTCCACATTGGTGTAATATTGGTGCCCCAGTCTTTGATTTTACAATGTGTTACAGCATTGCATCTTGTGTCTCTTTGACCAAATGGTCCTGAAAATTTGTCTTATTAGCCCTCAGTCTCACACTCGATGGCTTCAGTTAATACCTTTGTTCTTCATCTATTTACCCAAGCAACAGAGTCTGATTCAATAATGACAGTTGTTGTTTTTATTTCAATGCAACCTATAGTTTGACACATTCACAATGTCAACAAAAGAGCAGAGAAGAACATACTGACAAACAGAAAACACAATGAAGCAGTTTCATGACGTGCATGGAGATTGCCCCCATGCGCAGCCTGTCTGAGATTCACGCCTGTTATTATCAACATTATCCCCTCAGGAGATTTGTGCAAGTGTGAACGCACCATTTCTCCAACTCTCTCTCTCTCTGTCTCCAGAGTTTTTATTTCAGTTTTCAGTGTCTGTTTCTCTGCTTTTAAAGCTGCGATAGTGAGCAGTTTAATGTCCAAACACATTTCAAAACCACCAAACTTACACGTTCTGTTGTCTAGTGTCTACCCCAGGGTTGGCAGTTTTTTCTTTCTTCACACAGGAAGTAGAACATGCACATTACAATTAGAGCACAAACTTGCCCCTAAACCTCACACAGTAAAGTTTATCTCCTTATAGCACACTACGAAAATAAGGTGTCAGATAAAGTTACTTGTATTTTTGTTTCCTGGGTAATAAAGTGTTTAAACTTACCAAAAAAGCTCCTCATTGCTAACATTTTTTGCCATATTTAGCAGCTTAAATCAGCAACAGTCAAGTGCATATTCATGGGTAACCCAGTGCTAAGGTCAAGATGAAAGGATTGGTGGACAAAGCACACATTGACGCACTTCTGTTCTATCTGGCTGATTTTTATTATCTACTTATTCAATAGATCTTTATCTGAAGGTGCAAGTTTTAGAAGCAACGTTTTTCATCGAGGACAAAGAAGAACCTTTGCACTGAATCTTTAACCTCTTGTCCTCTACTTTCACATCCACCTTTTTAACCTCTGATCACTTTTTAATCCTCTTTCTACGAAATATAGAGCTGCATAAGAATTATGCATATCACCCCCCCTCCCCCGCTCTCTGTATTCATTGTATTAGTATTTCTGTGGACAAGGTTAATGTGCAATGTGACAAACTCTTTCACTTCTACTGGGCATTTTAGCATCTTTCAGTTCATTGTTCGGGTTTTACCGCCTGCTATTGTTTTGTTTTTGCTTTGGTTTCAGCATTGACCAATGGTATGAGTGTCTTTTTTCAGAAGCAGGAGGCTACTTTCTGCAGAATACAGTCCTAATAAACACACTGTACACTACCTACCTAGCAACAGATGATACACAGACACAGCTAGCAACTAGCTAAAGAATACTTTTGGACTAAAGCATGACTCCAAATGTTGCTCTGTGTACAGTATGCTGAAAGTATTGGTTACAAAATAAATGGTCTGCCAACTTTCTTTGTATATCAACTTTATAAGGTGATAAGATCATTTCTGTCTTTTCTTTTAACTTTATTGATGTTTAATAAAGTATGCCAAGAATAAGTGACAATAAAAGTGAAAATAAACACACCAGGGATGTGCACATTTAGTCAACTAAACGATTAAACATCGTCACCCTGGCTAGTCTGTTATACAAATATTCATATTTGTATATGCAGGTCCTCAATGCTGGTCAAATGCTTGCTCAAACTGCAATGCAGTCGCTCACCACAAGCTGGGGCTGTAGCCATAGTCTGGCTGTAGCACTTGTTACAGGGCCTGCACTCCACTCTCTACTACCTGGATGTAAACTAGGACGGTGAACGGTTAGCATCTCGTGAATCTCTTGAATTTAGCTAGCTGTTTGTAGGCCCCTCCCCGGCTTTATCGTCCCATACTTAATTTTCACATTTACCCTCTCTCTTCAGGACAACACCAACATTGATGCTGCTATCACCTGCCTGGTGAAGAACATCATGTCCGTGGAGGAGGAGAGAGAATCGAGTGATGCCGCCAGAAACGACCCTGAAGGCGGCATTCTGGTTCTTCCTCGATTTGAGTACAACACGAGGGAGAAAGGACTCAGTGGGTGTTCAGGATGTTCCTCACATAAACATAGAGACGATGTTTGAGGCGATGAGACAGATGGGTCCGAACTGAGAAACCAGAAGGAGACGGAGTGTTGGGAGAAATGTACTTTATTTTATGTTTATTCTATGTTTTTACTAAAATCCTCCCACTGTCTGTACTTACAAACACATTTCTTTAGAGAAGTCACCAGAAGATACTTAAGATTTGTAATAGTTTGTTTCTCTTTTAAAGGCTTCATATGTGATTTTTCACACTTACATGTAATAGAAATCAAGTATATCCTCTGAAAATAACTCTGTGAGTCTTGACTGTCTACAATGGGTGTAACACCCGAGTCCCACTGTCTGTGATGTTTTCCGAGTTTTCCGAGTCCTATCTTCAGTTTGTTTACATCGCCCGGACGGCCGGCCGACTCATCCCCTCTCGTATGAAAGTTGTTTAATTGAGGGACTAGAGAAAAGAAGAATAACATACTTTACTCACTGCTTAACTATGTTTCTAGATCATGCTCATTTTGGGTAAATTGACATGCAGTGTGAAGATACCAGCATAATTAAGATCGGGTAAGAATTAGCATGCTAACACAAAAATGCAGCGCGAGTTGTTTTGGTTTCATGCTGGTGCTCAAGGGCAACATCTGCTGGATCAAAATATCGCATATAAAGCCTTTAAAGGACTTTTTTTTAGACTTTAAATTTAAATATTGTGTTTTTAAATTTATTTTATGGTTTTAACACTCACAGAAAACAACAGCAATTAAAAAAATAATATTTTTCTACCTATAGAGTCTTTAAAAGTGTGCTTCAAATATTTTGTCTGTTAGATTGTATTCTTTATATATGTAAAGAGTATTAAGCTGCAGTTCTTGGCCTGAGTTTTGTAACTTAGCAGCTCCTTCAGAGGTTTTTTGATTTATTGGTAATTTATGTAAAATTAATAAAACATTGGTTTATTTGTATCTGGGTTGTAAGCGAGCAGATTCTTATCTACCTCAACATTGTCTGAGCTGTTAACCATCCACACATGCCTCCTACAGCCGAAGTGTTGATTGTGTCAAAGTTTAACCACCATTGATCTTAATTGACGGAGATCATGACGTTTGTTTTATCTGCAGTACAAGTCAGTATTTAATCCAATTATTATTATTTTTCTAATTCTAAGTCTGTCCTTCTTCGACGCATCAGTATTCTCATCAGTTGTGTCTTCACTTTGAGAAACATCTGTCATAACAACATCTGGCATTGTTCGATTTTAGGTTATTTATCACACAACACATTTTGATGTTACAGACACAGTCTCATTGAAATGTCAAACACTTAAGTCAAAACTAATATTGACTTTAATCACCATAAGAAGTCGCACATTTATGTTTGAAGTAAAGGTCAGGTTGAATGACCATGAAAAATAGATTTCTTCAATGTCACTTTTACTCTTTTATTCCATTAGTCTGTTTGTGCTTACTGCTGTGTCTTTCAGTAGTTAAAGGCTCAACATTTGGACACTAATTAAATGGATGGTACTGAAAGACGCTTGTTCTCTCGATTTGCTGCTCTGCTTGATGGATAATGCACTTGAATTTGACGCCCACCCATTTGTACATTCCATTCACTGAGCATGGAAACCCATAATAATAACATGCTGTTGGTAGGCCTAATGCGTTTCTTTTTGTCATGAACCCGCTTTATTTATGAAGCACTCACACTGAACTGGTCTGAAGGGAATCCATTTAAATGTGCTGTAGATACTCTGAATAGAGTTTTTCTGAGAGCGCACCTCAGGTGACAAGAAAGGACATCAAAACATTCACAATGTCCGCCCCATGGCTCTACGTGTCAATGCCTGATCGATGGCCCTGTAAAATGAAAAACATCTTTATATGAAACTGTTCCTATGGTGAGGATGAAAATGCTAGTACAAAAGAAAGCATTGAATATGTTTCTACAGTCCCTTCACTCATTTTATAACAATTTTCAAATCCAACTAGGCTTCATATTCAGTTATGCGAGCAGAATGGCTTTAAGGGATGGCCGTCTGTCAATTGATCCACTATGAACTGAATTGTCTCAACAACTATGGGACTTAATCATTTCTACAGAAGCTAATGTTTACTGCGGTTAAAGAGCAAAAGGCCTGCTGCTGAAAAAGTTATTTTATTCTATAGTTAACTTAAGCTGTATTTTGGGTTCACTGCTAATAAGCAAAGTTAGCATGCCAAACCAGAAAAAAATATCAAAGTGAACATGTCCTTTTAATTATTAGCTCTAAAGCATTGCCATTGTTAGCATGTTGATGTCAAAGCAACATCCTTTTGCTAACTTTGTACAAAGGTGGTTAGCCTTTTTTTGCAAACACTTGAGGCTGCCAAAACTAGCTAACCAGCCTTGATTAGCTTCTTTAGTTTAATGCTAAATTGTAACATTTAAAAATTAAAAACACATTTATAGCAAGTGAAACGTTATCAGAATCAGTCCTATGATTTTTTTGAAATGTTCTATTTTGCTGTGTCTGTCAGCAGTGGTTAATTTGAAGTCATTCTGCCAACAGTATGTCACTGTCTGTGCATCTTCTTAGCTCCAAGTAGGAGATATTTTGTTGAGTGAACCAAAAAAACATCCCTGGATCTTAGAATAAAAGACAAACCTGATAAGTTATCTCATGTCCCTCTGGGGTTTTCAAATGAATTCAGGTTAGCAACCACGCACACGAATGAAAGCTTGATGTAAAAGAGAGATGAAATTGATTATTTTTGGCAGAAAATTAGATATAATTATTGGCCAACTCCTGGCCAATTTTATTGATTATGCTTCATTGTATTCAAAGCTGCAGCAATTTTCTCACTTTTGAGCTACACATGGGTGATTATTACGTTTTAATTCATCACAATAGTTAAATAGGTCCATATGGGTGCCATTTTTCTCCTCGTCTCATTGCAAGAAAGCGTATTAGAAAACACTTTTCATCTTTTTCTTGCTTGTCATCCTTTAAAATTAGAGAGTTTTATGTGATTTAAGACAAATTAGGACTTTTATGAGGCTGGTGTGTTAGAACATTAGCTGTCTTCATGATAATGTTTGGCTTTGAATGCTTTTTAATGTAATGTAATTTTTTACAATTTATGCCACATCCGGATTAAAAAAAACTATAACCCAGATTTTCTTTCAGTTTTATCCATGCATTTGAATTTATACAAAAATCTGTCACAGCTCTTTAGGCCAGTTTTCTTTTGGGAGGTACACAACGAAGTTTGAACCACTAGCAGGTGCCAAAAACTTGTGACAGTGAAGAATGGTGAAAAACAGTGACTTCCATCTCATAGTAGTGTTTAAAGTGTGTATACAAGCCAAATAAATATACCTTGATATAATTTAAGTAACTTAATTTCTACACAACTGCAACCCCTCCCCCACACATACACACACACCCCAGCTCTCCTCCTCTCCTCTCATTCTCCTCTCCAGCTTAGGAAAGAGTCGAGCCTGTTACAGCTCTTCCTCTGTTGTTGTTTTCTCTTTTTGGAAAATCTGAATTGATGGAAGAGTAAAACAAAGATCTCCTGAATATCGGGGGAGGGGGATGGGCAGTTGTCTGTATTAGTACAGGGGTCGCTGTGAAGTCCTCCAGTCTGAAACACTTCCTCCTCATATGCAGGTGCAGGCTTCAAAACCTCCCCTCTGAATTGATTTTTTTTTCCTTCAGCCCTCTTGAGGACGAAATGGAATATTGCCATTTTCTTTCTCCAGAAACCTGTTGCATCGGAGCGACAGCTGCACCGTAAGGATTTGTCACATTGTGTTATGTGAGGTATCAAGACAGCTTTTGATTTATGTAAATTCATTCTTGTTTCCATTTCTTCTTTTATTTACATAGTTTTGTCAGCATCTTCATTAGCTCTCTTTTTGCAGGATTCTATTTTACTTTTCACATCTGTTTATATTTACACCTCATATTCCATCTGTATTGTTCTAAAAATATTGTCCTTGTGTCTACACTTGATTGATTTTCGTTCTTCTTGCGTATGATTTGAATTTCAAAGGCTGAATTGTTCATGCACACCTCTGTATGAATTTAAATTTAATTTTTTGCTTTTTTGAGCACACTTCCTTTACAACATACGGAACACTATATTGTGGAAAATGTACCTAATTAGGTTATTTAATCCATATTCATTATTTACGTTTTTAATGATGACTGCATTAATGTTTGAAAACTCCTGAAATGTTTTCAAATCATAGAATTAAATAAACACTGTAATTAGAATTTAAAAGTCATGTCATGCATGTTTATGTAGTATAACCAAGTAAAGCTTCAATCCAGTGGTTTTTATTCATGACAGTATTTCTAAAGTACTTGTAATGTCCGAAGAGTTACTTATTATTTTCCTATCTTACCTGTATATTCAGTACTTCATGAAGATGGCTGCTGCTGTGATGATCCTCATCAGTGTGGTTATGATGCTTCACTTAAGCAGAGGTCAGTGTGCCTGTGTGTTTTATAGCTTTCAGGAAATACATTGAAGGTCTGTTCTTTTTCTTTTTTTACATTGATTTTTATTGATTTTTTCACCATTACAAAGATCATTTAACATCCTAGTGCTCTGACATTCACAGCAGTAACAATAGGAATAAATAGAATAAATTAAAAATGAAATTAAATCAGGAACGGAAAGAAAAAACCAACACAAAACAAGAAAAACAGACAATACAAATCAAAAGAAGGTATTTTCTAACTGTGATGACGATTATTGTATTTGAGGGAGGTCTTAATTCCTGAAAGCTTTTAGTTGAATTATACAGTAATAGCAGGAAAGTAACTTCATTATCATTAATGTTAATCATTTATATATTTACAATGAAGAATCACTTTTAACTTCATTACCTTTTTACGCCCATATATTACATTATCTATTCGGTACAAATTAATTGGATTTCCACAATAAAAAAACTTTTTTTGTCAGATCATATGTTTGTGTTTTTTGGTCGCTTTTATGTCTTTTTCCCAAATACTGGGGGACACATGTTTCTAAAGGGGGACAGGCGAAGGGAAGAGAAAATATTATACTGTAGGGCTACCAGCTGCATAAAGTACTGCGCAGAAAGTTTGTTGTGAGCCCTGCTGTTATCTAGTTTTTTTTTTAAAGAGTAAACTAATTATGCGCCAAACTGAAAGATAGGTTATTAGGCCACATCATTGGCCCCATCCTTGTCTGTCCAATATGTTGTAAGTTAATAATTGAAAACACTTTTTGTTTGCCATTTTCCTGACTCAGAAGCTGTTGGGGAAAGTGGATG